GAAACTGAGGAATGCATGGAGAAGTAGAAGTTGCAAAGATTAAGGTCTATAATGGCAAGGCTGAGAGAAACAATAAAGAATGTGAACAGAGGGGAAAAGAGCTGCTGTCTGCACAGAGCAAGTCTGGGCACATGCTGCACACCGCAGAAGTAGCTTTGCTCCATCAGACCTCTGCTAAAATATCTGATCCATCACGCTGATCCTTGAGCTGTGATTTTCAGCAAAAAAAAGAAAAGAAAGATGTTATTGTTTCATGAGCAAGATGCAGCCAGACTGCACCACCAGAGCCATCTCCATTTATTTGGGTGTCTAAAGAGTCACGTTCCAAAAATAATGCTGATTTATGCTGTGTACCTGTGTGAGATTTGAAGGCTGGAGATTTAAAGAGAGAAAGCTTGGGGGAAAGCATGCATGGATGATGTGTCCCTACCTGAATTTCCTAACCCAGCGACACCTCATTCACTGCAGGTGCATTTATCAGTTCATCACATCTATCACTTCATCCAATCTGGCCTCTCGACTCCAACAAGGACTCCCCAAAAACGCACAGCAAACACATGAGCCTTGCACAACAGAAAGCAGAATACAAAATCTCCTCCTCTCCCTGGAGGAGCTCCCACTTTGACCTTCCAAAGTATCTTTCCCTGTTCATCCCAAACTGCAGAAATGCCACCGGCGCCGTTCAGGAGGGATTCTTTATAACATTCCATCCCTGAAGCCTTTGAGATTGCATCCACATCTCTCCACATTCTTATGAACCCTCTGAGATTTGGCCGTCACCAAAACAGCCCCTCCACGTCTTCCCCATCCTAGCACTAAAAGTCAATCCAAAGGAATGTGAAACCTCATCTAACGTGAGGTTTCTTTGCTATCCCAACTGACTGCTACGTTTTCCATGAGCCCCCACCCTGCTGTGTAAATACCAGGTAGTGAGCAAAAGCACAATGTGCCTGCTGACAAAGGGATCTCGCTCACTGTAACAACACTTCCTCCACCTCTATCGAGCTCCTTTTTCTTGAGAACACAGTTTTACACTTGTCCTTCATACAAATAACCCGAGGGTGGGAATTATTCAGAAGGCTCGTGTTTGACACCCCATCTGTTCATTTCTGACAGCGATATATAATGTAAGGCTATAAAAACTTGAAAAATAATGCAACATAAAAAGGGATTGACTCGGCTCCAAGAGGCCATAAACGGTAACAAATACCATTGTATGATTTATTTCATGCTGTAATCTTTACAGTAAGTCATCTTTCAGACATTTCCTTGTGACAGGTTTTAATAATATTAATGCCCAGAGCAATCCAAATCATCGCCAATAGACATATTTATCAAGCTGCCAATCCAAGTAAATGAAATTCTATAAGCAATAATGTAACATGTTTAAAGGAAGCTAATAAAACAAGTCAGGAGAGAAATATTACTGCAAAGTATTCTCTCTCTAATCCGGCCCTGGATTTTATACAGCCGTAATGCAAATCTTTCCCTCCGTGATTTATCGCTCCAAAAATACCAATGACCTTTTTGGGAGCTCCTGCACAGCCCTTCTCACACATTTATAAAGGCTGTGATGCATTCTGCCAGATTAGCTGAGCTGGAGCACTCAGCATTACTGCTTTGTTTTGAGCTGCCTTTGGTTTGGGGAGTGATGGGCAGCGTCAGAGTGGGATCTTAAGTCTTAAAGATTTATTTGGCACTGACAAGCCCTAACATAGGCTTGGCAACTCGGCAGGTATTTATTAGCAATTATCCTGGCAGTAGATAAATTACAATTAAGACGGAGCTAAAACTTGTTTCTTTAGCCTGGGTTCCCCTTTAATCTAATTCAGTTTTTATTAATCCTTCTCCTGGCTGAGGCGCTTTTACGCTGAGACAAAAGGGAAGGAGATGCTGCAGAGTTGCACACATGGAGCCCTGCTCGCAAACACCCTTTTATGCCTCACCAGAAACCGAAGAGGAATGAAAAACAAGAGTCAACAATTCAGCAGAACATACACCATTCAATCTGCCATGCCTTAGGCAAGGCTGCAGAGGAGCCACGAGCAGTAAAGCAAAGTGCATCGATGCCCCATAAGCATGGAAGGAGCCTGGGGAGGTCTTCATGCATTCCTTCTGGATGAACTTCGTGGCTCATCCAATCCTAATCCTCTTGTTTTGTGGTTTTTTGTTTGTTTTTCTTGGTTATTGTTGTCACTGTGTTCAGTATTGGTTTATGACTTACTATTTTCGTAATGACGTTGATTAAGCTCTTTCCCTGATCTGATGATTTCCAATGAGAAAGAAAAAGAAGAGTGTATGGCCATAGGGTGCACAGTGCTGAGGGAAATATCTGTCATTATAACAGCCTACAACACCAGAAATATCACTGAGACACCAATGAAATGGGTTTTGAGTCTGATAACAGGCCAGGTCCAATTCTTCCTCATTGCACTTCACTGCATTTCCCTGAATTACGGTTTGATTAAATTCTTCATTGATCAGCTCATACGTAAACCCATCTCCACCTTAGATGCAAAATTCCAATTTTTTTTAAACAGAAATTCAGTATTTAGCAGGCTAAATATCCCAACAGAAAAGTATTTTCAGGTGGGCCCACAAAGGGATGCCCAAAGTCATTTTGATAGCACTGCCTGCTGCACACAGCAACCCCTGGCTATACCTTGACATCTCAGGGACTCGTGTTCAAGTCCCCATCCTCTCTGCATCACGCTGTGCTTCGCCATCCTAAATCAAACAGAGCAGAGATTTGAACTTGGAGCTCCCCTTGGCCACTGTCCCAGCCATCCTAATTTGGATAAGGAAGGTCAGTGTTAGCTTTTCTATTAGCAGAAAACCCTGGGTGGAAAAGCTCGGCTTGATCTGAAAATGGGCAACTGCATCCGATACTGAACTGGGTTTTAATCATAATAAAAAATGACTTGGGATAGATTTGAGGACTGTAATGTTATGAAGGGTCGGCTCCAAACGGCTGTATTTTGCACTGAGTTTTCCTCTCTGACTTTTGAGACCTCACTTCACCCTTCCCTCCTTCCCTTCACCCTTCCCTCCTTCCCTTCACCCTTCCCTCCTTCCCTTCACCCTTCCCTCCTTCCCTTCACCACTGTTGAAGGCAGAAATCCTTTTAATAGTGCACACATCCAACATCCAGCCCAACAGGGCTCCAGTAGAAGCCTCCAGGCACCGCTGTAGTACAAATAATAAATACTGCAACTAATAACAGTATGGTAAAATCCCCTCCCCAGGGAAGTGCTGGAAGACCATTCCCTGGCGTCACTTAAAACTAAACAGCAGAAAACATCCCTGCCCTGACTGGGGAGGATGTGGTGTCTTTTTGATATGGTGATGAGGGAGAATATCTTGATGGGGATGGGAACAATTATTTATCTGCACATTTGGCCATTTCTTTAGGGGATTTCAGGATATCTCTTAGTAACAATTTTGTTCCTCACTGCTAAGCAGCAGCAGCAGAAATCTCTGGGAAAATAAATAAATAAGAACTGCATAATCCCCAAGGTGTAATCCCAGAGTACGGAAACTCACTTCACTTAAATACCTCCCTCTGGCATAATTGACTTTTCATGCGCATGTTAATAATGGCATTTCAGCAGGTTGTGAGGGTTTGTTCTTCTCTCTCCCTTTGGTAAATTATGTTATTGGGCATGAGGAGGGGGAGGGCCATGTTATAAATCTAATTATGCTTCCGTTTATATTTAACAAGTCAGCACAATCTGCTAGTATGTGTGTATGTATTTACCATGCAGTCCCAATATTTACAGCTGACCTAATTGGTTGTAGGACAGCAGCACTGAGCAACGTTTTATTGTCCTGATAGCATGCATGTGCTGGGGACACAGCTGCTAAGATGCAAAGCTCTCCAGAGGACACCTTACAATCCTTGCCACACTGACATTTGCCTTTGCTGCTGAAGCACAAGATGGGATTTTGCAGGGAGGGGAGATATTATTTATTAAACCTCTTCAGCTCTACAGTGACTGCAAACTGCTCACAAGCAGAAACGAGGCAAGAAATACTGGTTTTGTGCACCTCTTCCCCTGCTAAGTTCCTGTCTACTCACTGCAAATTCTAGCATGATGCTATTTGCCAATATGTCCTGTCACCTTCTCTAGTGGATGTAGGAAAAGCGTAACAGCTTGCTGTCACTGACAGCTCAGTTTCAGACCATGATATTCTTCCTTATGCTGAATATAGCAGCTCAGGTTATGAGGAGTTCCAATGCAAGTCAAGTGGGACTGCTCAGCAAACTAAGTACGCTGTAGCTAAAACATTGCAATTCACACCTCGACTCAGACAGAAGATGACTACACTGACACTGCTCTGTGAAACCTGCTGGGAAATCAGATTCCTCCAGCCAGGAAGCATTCAGATGGCATCGAAGGGACTCCTAGCATGCATTGCTGATGTTAGAGAACAAGGCTGTCGGGTGAGGTTTCTCTTGGATCATCAATTGGCTTTAGAGCAAACCAGAGATTGTTACTCTTCCACGTTGCTGCCAACAGCACAATGCAATCAAGCATCTGAAGAATAAGCAAAACTCAGTGTTGGCTATTCACGTTCTAACACCCAACTACTCCTGTCTTCACCCTGCCCTCTGAAAAGCAGCAGAATAAAAGTGTTCCATGATTCCTCTGTGTTATTTTGCTTCCATCTAGAGTGCAGTAAGCACTTTGTTGAGGTGTACCAATCCCTCCTTTCACTTTTCCATTGTACCTCAAATTGGTATCACAAGTTCATTGTATCTCATGTATGCTTATAAGCTTTGACCCTCCAGGAGAGTGTTAGAGCTGAGGATTTGGATGCATAGAAATAGTTGTGCTTTCTAGACCGATCAATTACTCAAGACAGGGAGAAGCCATAAACTATCCACTAACAATAGCAGAAGAACCAGGAAACAGGCTGTTCCTGCTTCCCACACAGATTCTCAATGAAAAAGTTCAGGAAATGCCTGCTCAGCACTCATACAGCTTTACATTTCTTACCTATCAACAAATATCTGACGTGGAAGGATACTTAGGACCCTTGACTTTGCAGGCTCTCCATCCAAAACAAGCGATTCTCCATAGGATTTCAGTTTCTCTGGAATAAAGGCATGAAACAAAGTTGGGTTCCTTTTGAATAGCCCTTGGTTTTACTTAGACTGCGTCTGTAAATGGCCATTATAGCATTTGAAGCTTCTGATGTGGCTTCAGAGATAGCGGGCAAAGGAGCTTTGAATTGGTTATCCAGACCAGTGGTCAGAAATACAACAGTGCAATAAAATGGTATTTCTATCTACTATGTGCTGAATGGTCTTAAACGTGGTGAGAACATCCTTAGTGCAGCATCTCATTCCAAAAGGGTTCCTTTTCTTACAAAGGAAAAATTAGCCGGAATGTAGGCAGAGTTCATCCTCACCACTGTACTGTCCTGGCTTGAAATTATTAGTCTATCCTCATGTTGTCTCTGAGAGTTGAAGCTGTTACAGCTGCAACCCTTACCCAACAGGAAACCAAACTTCAGTAAGGCTGGGTGGCCTACAGTTCCCAGATTGAATCTGAGGAAACAGATCAAGAAAATGAGCTTGGGTTTCCCAAATCCTAGAGCAGCAATTTAACAGCTGGAACATCTTTTCTCTGACATTTGATCGAGTCCTTTCTGGGCCATAATCTGAGGTCACGGGCCATTAAGGCCAGCATTAGAACACCAGGCAGTGATTTGAAGATGTACAGCAGCACCCTCGGAGGTTTTTAAGCCCCTACCTGCACCTCCTGCTTTCCACAGTGATGCAGCAGGCTCAGAACACAAAAAAGCTATTCCTTGCACTCCCCTGGCCTGTATCTTTGTTCCTAATCTGCATTCCTCCTCTTATCAGCATTTGACAGGAGGCACAAAGCTTTTCATGTCACATGTGTCCAAACATGTCCAATGCATTCAGGTGGGGAAGAAAAAGGGTGGACTGCAAGAACTTTCAGACACAGAGATCTCTATCTCACCAATTGACAGGTGAATCCTCTCATACCAGCTTCCTTGTTCGTTGCAGCTATTGCCAAAGCACACTAACCCAGATGGAGCTGCTAGTGATTCTAAACATACCCTGGCAGATGAAGGGACATCTCTGAATAGGCAATTTGTCAGCCTTAAAGCTGTAATTGTTCTGCACAGGTGTGCTGAACACAGGTGCGTTTGGCCTTGGTAACAGGATAGCTCTTTCTACAGCCCTGTGTTCAACGAGGTGGGAGCTGGAAGGGCAGAGAGGGAGCTTTGCAAGGATGCCATGTGACACCCAATCAATCCTGCTAGGTCAAGCTTCATTAAAGTATCATAAGACAAGTCACAGAATAGAGATCCTTAACAGCCTGTCTTACATGGGCAGCAATAAGTAAATGTCTCCCAAAACAAGATATTTCATTTTGTTTTAACTTACAGCCCTCAAATAAGCCATTCACACTCGTTAAAATAGCAACATGGTTGCTCCTTTAACTAAATCTCAGGCTCCTGTATTAGTTTCTTATTCATGACAGTGAACTCTATCTTCACCAGGTTCACCTCCCTGTTTCCACTGCAGGTATTGGAAGCATCCTCACCTGCTCTAGCTGGGGGTCTCCTGCATCTAACCTCCATTAATTCCCTTCCTCCCACAGTGAGCCTGGAGGCATCCAGGACACGAAGTACTGCTTCAACTGGGTTATATTGAGAAGGGAGGAATCAATCAAAGTGACTACAGTTAAGCTGCAATCCATCTGGAATCCTGGGGAAAAACTGATGGCAAGGTCTTTCGGCTGGCAAAAGTCCTGATCCTGCTCAGGCAGCCATCCTCTCTAGTGCATATCTGGTGCAGGACTGCAGGTTTGCAAACAACTGCTCTTTGCTAATACATATCCTGAAATGCAATCTTGTCCTTTTAAAACCTAAGCTTGCCTTAGGAAACCAGAATAAAACCACCCAGGTGGAGAGAGTTCCCACAGCATCAATGTATTTCTACTCCTTTGACACTGACTTTTATTAAGACGTCTTCTACACTTAAAGAAATCTCTTTTCTGGGAGGTAGATGGCTTTCAGGGACCTCAGCTGCATCTAAGCTGATAAGTGTGTGGGACTGAAAATGGGCTCCAGCTTCCCTTCCTACATGACATTACTACGCGGAGTCCTCCAGGTGTCAGTATGTCTGTGCTCGCTGTGCGAATGAGTTCTGCCTTCATCTCTGCCATCTGCAGCTCGGAGGCATGTTTTGTAATGGGGCTTGGCTGCCATCTGCTGTTTAAGTTATTTGCAAGAAACGAGCAGAAGTCCGTGTGTGCCCATATTTAAAGGAAAGCTCCTTCTCGACTCTTTAAACCATCTGCACAGAGGGGAAAAATGCACAAGTGGACATAGATGAGCAGTTTGGCCTTTCGTGCCTCACATTGCTGCAGTTAAACATAAATCAGAAGCCACATTTTCTGCTGAAGCAGAAACCCAAACCAAAGCAAAGCCCAGGAATTCCCTGAAGGTGGAGTTTGAGGTGATGAAAGCACACGATGCTCTGCTTTGGGTCAGATGTTACGATTAATCTGCTCTCTCAGTCTGCAGAGCAAACACCATCAGGTGCTGCCACATTCCTCACACAAACCCCACAACGTTTTTCTGACTTCACATTTCATGTTCCCTATTCTCACGATGGGGCCAGGACATAGATGCACTTCCTTGACCTATCACAAACCAGGCACAAAGCTCTTGTTTCATCCAGCTGTACCTTTTTTTTTTCGACTATACATATACTAATGAGATATTTGCTTTGGTCTCTGCACTTAAAAACCTGCATACTGTGATAAACCTGTTAATAATTAGGGTGAAAATCCTCACCAGTGTATTTTGTCCTGTTCTCTTTTAGCCAAGAAGCTTTGACTCCTAAAGCAAAGCACAAAGAAGCCTTTAAAATACTACCTGTAAGATTTATTAGTGTAACCAGAAAGATCCTTGTTTTACCAGATAAGGGCTGTTCCAACCTGTTCTTATTCTTACTATCCTCATTAACTGTGATAAGTAGTTAATAAATATACAATTAACAGATATTGATTCGGCCCTTTTTAAAGTCGGAAATGGACTTAAAACAACCAACGTACCTGAGAAAGTTTTTGAGTGAAGTTTGCTTCCACACTGACATTTCTCAATCTGCTCTGGATCCTGGATGTCACTGTGACAAACTCTGCAATAGAAATGTGCCCTGGAAAACAGAAGTGAATCAGGAAGAGGTGAATTATGCTTCACTGACCAGATAATAAATGCACTCGTCTGCTCCTGAAACTACTTTTTGTTCTACAACTTTTTCCTCCACAAAACAGTAATAAAGCACCTTACCTTTTGACTTCTGCAAGAGAATGAGCAATAAAAAAGCCCATTGTATTCTGGCAAATCTTTATCTGTGGAGATGGATTGATCAGGATGGCACTGCGTGGAGAAACCATACAAAGAGTAATGATGGCTGGAGATTCCCTCTGCTGTGGGAATTCAGACTGGATGATCACAGCAGCCCCCTCCCACCTTCACTTTTTATTTTAATTCCCCTTGTTATAACTTCTAGGACCCGTGTGAGTTTCTTTTTCCCCTTTTGCTTCCTCTTTCCATCATTCTGTTTTCATCCAGGCAACATATGAGCTCAAGATACATTAGATGGAGCTGTGGCCTGTTTTCCATTAGCACTGAGCACCTCCAACATGCACTGTCTGCTCTCAGCACAGGGTTCATTCACCATTTGCACAGGAGTCCCAACCTATTTCTCACAGCAGTGGTTCCCTACAACTCAGAGTTTCTATTCTACAGCCGTTTCCTTTATAAAAGTGGAAAGAGTAATAATTGCACTCAATAGTCTGCATTTTCTGGATGATTTCTCAAGCTTTGTAAAGATCTATGGCACTCATTTACTCCCCTTTCTGAACTAGTTCCAGCTCCCCCATTAGGATGTCTTGTATTTCATCATTAGAACAGACAGAGAGTGTTATCTGGCCTGGGACCAGATCAGCTTCAGACAGCAAAAGCTCTGCTGCCAGCATTGACAAATTATCCCTTTATGACAATGCTTTATAGCATTTAGGAGCTAAAACTCATGTGTTAAAAAAAAAAAACAAAACCATGAGAAGGCGTTTCATTATCCATGAAAATAAATATGCTTGATTTGCCCCAAATCAAAGGGAGATCTATGATGGTTATGCTGCGTGTGAGGTGGAAATCCTCCATCTCTTGATGATTATTTGTGAGAAGAAAGGCAAAATATGGTAAAATTCACCCTGGCATGTAAGCAACCAGGAATCACATCCTTACCCCATATAACAATTAGTGTGCACAGGAAAAGAAGAGGTGCATAAAGTCTGTGCAGACCTGGGAGCAAATCTGAATTCTTTGGAAAGCATCAGTTTGGAATTTTGACTTCTTACTAAGAGAGAATTCCCCCACTTACCTCTCTCCTCGACTGCCAAATTGGAGCTCAATCCCCAAGAGGATAAGGTTCAGTTTCACAAAGCACAACCTGGAAAAAGAGAGCAAATCAGCCACGCTATCAGGAAAGGTACATCTGGAAGGAAATAACAGAAAAACGTCCACATCTGTACCACATACCGGCAAACCTCTATAAAAGTCATGCCTGCAAAGTCGTCGGAGAGCTGAAAGGCCATGACTTTGTAGTCTTTGTCTCCCAGAAGCGTCTCGTCCTTCAGATGTTTTCTCTTTGTCTGAAAGAATCGATCATAAAGATGATGTATTTATTCAAGGCAAAGCGAGTAGGATGTGTAACCTAACGCTGGGACGTCGTTCCAATACCACATGATATCAGATCAAAGACATCAGCTGTACGTTGTCAGAAACAATATTAGAGTTCATATACAACAGACCAAGGAAAGTCTTAACTCTTGCAGACACTTCCAATTCGTATTCATAGAATCATAGAAAAGCCTGGGTTGAAAAGGACCACAATGCTCATCCAGTTCCAACCCCCTGCTGTGTGCAGGGTCACCAACCAGCAGACCAGGCTTCCCAGAGCCAAGGATGGAGCAGATGGAGCATCCAAGGATGGAGCATCCACAACCTCCTTGGGCAACCTGTTCCAGTGCCTCACCACCCTCACCACCCCTTCCTCCTAATATCTAACCTAAACCTCTCAATTTAAAACCATTCCCTCTTATTATGATTGAAGAACAGGTGATGTCAATACTGCCAACAAAGTAACACGGTCGTTTTACGACTGCAAAGTATTGGGAATTCATTATTTGAGGAAAGGGAGGCTTTATTTTGCAGTTATTTGGGTCTTATGTTTACCAACTATAACTGCTGTGATGGTCTGATGAGCAGTGAAGGCTTATTCTGGGCTCAGCACCTCTCAGTGCCTTTTTGTTTGCTCCTCAAGGTAGCAATGTGACTGAGGAAGGTTTGTTTATACCAAGGGAACATCCTGCTACTGACAGCTCCTTTGGCTTCTATACCACCACTCATTATTTCACATTATACGCCATTCTCTTGGCATGTGAATGCCTCCTGCATAAAACTTAATAGGCTGTTAAGAGTTTTGCTTTCCAAACAAAAATTGTTTGATGGACTTTTTAATCGAGAAAAGCATCACGTCAAAAGTTGGCTGAGTTTTCACTGTATGCCTTAAAAACTTCAAATAACAGCTTAGCTAACTTTGCTGTGACCCAGGAAAGCATTTGGACCTGAGAAACAGCACCTCTATCAAATAGCACTTTATCTACAAACAGCAGACCTACAGAAAACTTTTATATATTTCTTCCACCAGATATTTATATGGTTTGCCCAAATCAATTCTGCAAATGAAAAGCCCCTGAATACAGGAATAGCAGTCCAATTTCATGTTTTATTCTGGAGAATGAAGTATCACACACAACCACTAGGTGATAGCAAAAGCATTTCCACTGCAGGACTGGCAGCCCTGAGGTCTGTTTGGGCAATTTCATGCCCAGCAATCATGTTTTTATGGTTTTTTTTTTTTTCTTTTTTTTCTGCTTGTCTTAATCATGTCAAAGGATTTACCTCTGTATTCTCTTTCCTGATGAACAAACTGGTCAGGAGAGTGGACAAACCAGGAACCAGGCAGCTCTGTGCCATGAAGCCCAACTTCAGCTCAGCAAAGCAGATGATGCTGTCTCCCATCTTCCAGTCCCAGTTGGGTATGTTTGGCAGGTATGCCTGTTTCAGTGTAGGAAAGCAATTACAGATCAGCACAGCAATGAGCAAGGCCACTGTTCCTGTACAATGACCCTCCTTGTCTTTTTTTTTTGCATTTGTCATTGCATTTTTTGACAGTGGAATACACCAAGTCTAAAGCAGACTTCTGATTTTGAGGTTCTTTTGGTTTTATCTTTCCTTTAAATGCTGAACGCACGTTTAACTGACAGCAAAACAACAAAGAAATGGTTTTGCTATTTATTTTTAACAGTGTAGAAAGATATTCCAGCTAGGTTAGTGGCTGTATGAGTGAGAGACATTGCACAATATCTCTGCCTTCTCCAGATAAGAGCCTTTGATTCTATAAAAGCCAGAATTCCAGCTGAGACAGACCATAGTCATACCTTGTTACGGGACTGAATTATCTGTACAATGATTCTTGTTTTGGGGTAGTGATTCTTGATTGACAGCACTCTGTATGAAAGATATAATTTCAGATTAATATGCTTCGTTCTGGCTATAACCCCTCATTTTTCAAGTCCAGCTAAAGGAGTTGGACTTTCTGACCTGAATCTCCACTTCTGTAGATGCCCTACAAATGGAAATTAAAGATGATCCAGTTTGGAACTTGGACTTCTGGACTGATTTTGGGGGGGAGAATACTACAGCACCTGGGCCATCATATTCACAAAATCCAGTAGTAATACAAGAACTCATTTCAAGTCTGACTGGTACAAAAATGCTTAGAATATGAGACCTGACAGCTGAGCATAACTGTTTCCAGAGTAAGACAGAGAGACTCCTTGACTGCTGAAATTCAGGATAGAGAAGGAAATAATTACACTATATTTAGTAATATTATATTCTGTGCAAGACTGCACAGCTGCTACCTGTCTTAGCCCTTCAAAGCATCTGATAAAATCATAGCAGAAAGCAGTCAGTTGGCTTTCAGAGTTCTCCTGACAGAAAAAACAAAACAAAACAAAACTTGATGGGACAAATATGCTCTGCTGCCAGCTGCACTATCCGTGTCACTGTTAATATCAATCAGACAGAGAATGAAAGCACTGGAGTATCTCATCCTACCTCATGATATTGGAAATGTCTTCAGCATAGGGTTCTGGAGTGCAAACATCTGCTAGAATGAGACAAGCATTTGCAGACTCCATCTGTATCCCACAGGAGAAAAGTTAAATCAGGGTTTAATCCCATATGAAGTACAACAATCTCCAACAGTGGCATGTGTCTTTAGTTAAAGGCTTGCATAAGGTCATCGTGATCCTACTGCTTTGGAGCTGTACACATGCCAGAATGTTTCAGCAGTGACACAGCTCCAATCAAACACGCAGTGTGTAATGCATGTTTGTATTTTCCAAGTGCTGGAACACATGAAATTTACGGTTTCTTGGGTTAACATCTTCCTAGAAGAGGTTACAAAAGCCAGACAGCAGAGCTGTGTTCTTCCCCAGCAAAGCCCAACTGAAGCATTTCCAAGGGTCAATATTTGGGCACGTCAGAAGAAATCTGGCTCTGCCATCTAATTAATATTTGGGATCTATGGTGAAACTGATAACAAAAAAATAATAGTTCCATTTATGGTAGAGTTCTTATAGTCTCCTGGGAAATGGATGGAGATCCACCACTGAATTTCAGGTTACTAACCACCAAAAACCACAGTATAATTAAAGCCAATTGTGGTTGTTTTTTTTTTTTATGTTGGCTTCATTTTTTTTTTCTTTATGCCAAATCCATTCCTCTCGCTTCTATTGGAATATTTTACTGACTCTTCAACATCTCAAAACGTGAGGCCTCTTCCCTGGATGTTCACGAATGCGACTCAAACACAATGCAAGAAAAGGTAACTAAGGGCTATTGCAATAATTTAGATCCTATTTCCAGAACTGCTGTCCCCCAAAATATCTCTGCTTTAAAACCAGTTGATCGGTTTGGCTTTGCCTTTATTTTTCACTGTTCAGCACTTGAAATACTTTTAGTCTGAAAAGTCTGCTATGCCCGATTCTCACATCTTCAGTTCCCAGGAGTGTTATATTGGTATGCAAAAGGTACCACTGCAGTAAATGGAGCTGCTTGAAGTGTAAATCACAACATGAATTGAGCAAAAGCAGCCGATGCATCCTTTCATAAGGGACAAGATTTTGACAAGACTGACACATCTACAAGAAAGGGCAAAAGATACAGAAGTTCTTACCCGAACTCTTTTCAGATCTTCAGAGTTCAGCGCGGAGCCATGAAAGAAAGAGGTGTAGGGTGAATAGCATTTGAACACAGCTTCCAGCTCCAGACTGGGAAGAGACCTATTCAGTATAAACAACAACAAGAAAGAAAAAAAAAAATCCATCAATCTCTCATAATTATATGCTCTGCAGTTCTCCATTTCTCAGAGAAGCCATTTGCCGTAACTGCTTACTGTTTAAAAGAGAAGCTACAGGGATTTTGGCAGCTCAGCCAAAGCGCATAGTTTAGATTTTAATGAAAACAAGCTTTTATAAAACTTAACAGTCGTGAAAATGTTTCCTGAATTTTTTTTTTCCTCTGTCTTCTGCTATTGCTATTAATTTTTCATGAGTGTCTGTAATTGTACGGCTCACTGTTACTGCACAGAGTCAGGAAATGACACTTCCCAGGGCTTCGTTCTGCATTCTGTGCTCAAATGGAACTGCTGATCTTCAACTTTCTCTCCAACTCAAGTGTTATTTCCCTACCCAGTGTATACAAACTGTATTTCACCCGGGAACTTTGGTAACATTCTCTTCTATGATGTATTGTTAAAGCTCACGTTGTGCATTGATCTCAGCAACGAAGCAAATCTCATAGGAAGGCAACCAGCCTTGGTTGAAAGATGGGTTAGAAACCCCCCCCCCATTTTCTAATGATTTATTTCAGTAATTATTAATCACCTCACTTTTGCAAATGTACGCCTTGTTTCCAGCCTGAGTTTGCCCAGCTTTAGACTCTAGTCATTAGTCTTTATTATTGGCCATCCTCTCTGTTGTTGTTCTAATTTGTTTTGATCATCAGGTAATCAACTGCATAACGTTGCCTTCCTTTAATGTCAGACCTCCCACCCTTCCCCTGAGAGATCAGGATGTCAAAGAGGAATAACTCAAAGAAATACGAATACTTACTCTCCCAGAAAAAGGATCTCTGTGCAAATATTCCCTTTGTCCTGAAGCAAAAAGTCTTGCAGGAAAGTAGTAACGCTCTTCAGAGTGACATTGCCACAGACAACAATATAGCTACAGGAAGAACCAAGGAAGATTTGACACTTGGAAAACAGCAGTGGTTGTAGCATATCTGACACAATCTGCTTGCAGTACATTAAACACATCCATGAAGCAGAAACACAGGGTTTGTATCTTTGGTCTGAAGATAATTTCACCCATTGGGGATACAGACTTCAGGAGTTATTTTGGAAAGGAGAACTGTGCTAAGAAGTGGTGAATGGTGGAGATTTGATGAGTGAAAAGTCATAAAAGGAACGGTTATGAGATCTAAAAATTGTACCTAATCTTTCTGGTTCTGTAAGTGGTGAAGGAAAAACAACAACAAAAACAAACACATTGCACTGATAGCTAAAAAGGAGATAGATCTCCTCAATCTCTAAGTGAGGCTGCTGCCATGTCATCCACATTTTCTCTTCCTCTGAAAACCAAACCTACCCTAATGAACACTGCTGAGGAGGTTTATTTGGATGCATTTGAGGTAAAGAACAATGGAGAGTAAGTTCCAGGATTTGATTTAAGCTACTATAGGAATTTCTTATGAGCAAGTTCCCAATCTAGAAAGAGGGCTGGGTTTTATTTTCCAAGGAGTCACCATACTTACTTTTTCCCACTCATCACTTTGTAGGAGGATTTGTAACTTTTATGGTTTTGAGCAATTTCCAAAACTTCAGGAATGAAATTTGCAAACAGGACCTAAGGCATCAAGAAACACCATCTTCCTTAGAGCCAATTCTGTATCTCCTAATCATGATAAATTAATTCAAGAGAATTATATTACGTGGAACAACAGCTACAAATTTACTTTGGATTCCTAAAAGCTGCTGGCAGGGATGTATAACTCAGTGACAATGGATTTATGCTGGTGATAGACTTGGATTCATCTTGCCCAGTATTTTGGCTCTAGCCAGGAAGAAAAGCATACCAGAAGCCCTGCCAGCTCTTAGGAAATTACTCTATAGCCATGCCAGTAAGGACTTAAAGTCAAAGCTGTTTTTGCTCATTGATGCCTAATCCGTACCTGGAAGCCCTCAAAGCTTTGCTGACAGCCCCGTTTCATTCCCTGCCCCCAGCTGCCATTTTCAGAAAAGAAAAATAGATTTCTCACCAAACCACCAATAATGAAGAAAAAAATGAAGGCTCGACCCAAGGCTGTTTGAACCACAATATCACCATAACCAACGGTGGACATTGTCACCATGACGAGGTACATGCACTTGAAGTAGGTGATGGGCTGGGAATTTACAGGCTGGACCCATGGATCTCCATTGTTTTCTACCTGTCCAGGGAAGATAAAGGGGAGAAAGAAGTTTAGAGGAGTTTTGGTTCGAATCCATCTCCCATCTAAAACTATTTGATTAAAAAACTGCACTATTTTTTTTAATTGTGGAGTGATCTATTACCACAGAAGGGAGTGGTGCTGCATCAGTGCTACCAAATCTGGCAACACATGCAAGTCAACTATGCTGGCATAAGTCATGCTCTCTTGTACAACAAATCTGTTCTCTCTCTCTCCAAAGAGAACACTGCATTCATTACAGAAAACAGAAACCCAAAGCTTGCATGGCCATACTGATTTAAGGTGACAAGGAAAGACTTTCAGCTGATCATACATACCAAGTGAATAAATCCTGCAGCTGTGAGCCACGTGCTGATAAACACAGCAAAGAGCTTGGAGAGCTTGATGGAGTAACTGGAGATGGGAAGACAGAATAAACATGTAACACAGCGCTGGCAATGGTTAAAGCTTTGGTTTAATCCTCATTGCAGCATTTCAATACCTAATGGGAGCCTAAAGAGGGGAGGGGAATCAACTCTTGGAAAGGGTTGATAACTGCAGGACAAGGGAAAATGGTTTGAAGTTGAGGGAGGGGAGATTTAGGTTGGATTTCAGGGGAAAATTCTTTGCTATGAGAGCAGTGAGGTGCTGGAACAGCTGCCCAGAGAGTCTGTGGATGCCCCATCCATCCCTGGAGGTGTTCAAGGCCAGGTTGGATAGGGCACTGAGCATCCTGGTCTAGCATTAAATGTGGAGGTTGGTGGCCCTACATGTGGCAGGGGGTTGGAGATTCATGATCCTTGAGGTCCCTTCCAACCCTGGCCATTCTGTGAAAGCTTCCTACAGCACTGCTCAATGAAGTATTCTTTAGTAACAGTAAATTCTACAGGAAAGATTTAGAGTCAGAAAAAGTCTCCTTACATCCAAACCCTTTCTATCACAGGGCAACATGGCAGACAATACCATTTTTCACATTTATCTGTCTTCAAAACCTTTAAGATGTCTTGATTTATGACTTCCCCTTATCTCCATCCTCCCTCCAAGAATTTCACTGAGCCCATGGTTGTAAATATTTTTGTTATTTCCAGTGTAAGATTACTGACGGTCAGCCTTTCCTCCTATATGCAACACTTTCCCCCTTTGTTACCCAACCCAGCTAAAGCACAGACAGCAAGGAGGAGGATGGGCTTTGGAGGGTACCCAGCAGGGCTTTAACTCACTTATCCTTGGTGATCCTGAGGATCTGCAGGATGCGGGGAAGATCCAACAACCTCAGTGCTCTCAAAAAACGCAGACCTGCAGAAAAGCAGGAAAGCCCACGAGAAAAAATAAACCCATCTATACAAGTGGAGCATCTCCACATGTTCAGATACGCTCAACAATTCGTCAAACCTAGCAAGAGGGGATAATGTTCTGCATTCAGAGCCCTTATAACACTGGATTTCCATTTATGTCCTCGAAGGAGCTTTGAATTATGAGAAAAATTAAGAAATGTGGTTTGTCTGAGCTGTAACCTGAAGGCTTAAGTGACATAGAGGTCAACTGGATTACTGGCCCTAAGTATGCAAGAAAGCCATTCACAGAAATCAGGGTACCACAGTTACATCCCCTCTGGGTGGCTCCTCATCCTGTTGGTCAGGCACAGAGATTGCTGAGACTCTCAAAGCCACACAGACAGAATAGAGGCAGAGTTTGGTAATTCAGAAGTCCCACAAAATTAAAGGCTTTTTTAATAGCAATAAGGAATAATTTTGCTCCCAAGGAAGAGTTTGGAACAATGAAAGAACAGATGGGCAGTTAAACCTCCCCACGTCAAATCAGATTTGAAAGGAGTCTCTGTGTAGGATGCAGAACAAGTAAGGAAAGTGGGATCACCAAATCTTAACTTACCCAAGCAACTCTTCCTTAAGACAGAAGAAACAAACACTGGAGGGATGGTGAAAAAATCCACGAGAGAATTCAGCTCAAGCCAAAACCTCAGTTTGTCATCAGCCGCCACAAACTGAAGATGAATCAGATCAAAGAGCATCAGTTCTGTGTGTGATCTTTGGCTTCATCAGAGCAAAAAAGGAGACCCCTGAGGCAGAAATCCATTTTTGCAGTGTACTTCCTCCTGTCTAACTCTGTCTGCTGTGGACACCAACTTGACATTCCTATTTTGCTTCTGAAAGTCCTGAGCTGGAGCCCTGAGAGCACAATGATGGGTTGAACCCAGAGGTATAACAATGCTTTTTTCCTTTCTCATCTGTCCCTTTCATCTTTTCTTCTAAGCTGCCTTTCTCTCTATACTGCTGCATCAGTAAGAACGAATCATGAAAGCTCAGGACAGGTCAACACCACACCCTCAGCTATAAAAGAGAAAATCCCATTTTCTGTTGACTTGGCTAAAAATTCTACTGTCCAAAACTACAATCAAAATGTATTCTACATTGATGTAACTAATGGCATCTTAACACGGTACACAGCTACATGGTTTGCCCAAGAGAGGCCTGACCAATGGATTCAGTGCTCTAAAGACATGGACACAGACATGGCTAATGTGTGAGCTGGGAGATGCTGCAGAAATGCTGAAAATAAGATTCCAAGGGGAGAACATAATTATAAGAGAAGGTGAAAAAAAAACAAACAGAGCGGCTCTGAATTAAGCTAAAGCAATCCAACATTACATTACAGAGCATCTCTGTCCACACAGGTAATAGAGTTTGTAACTCATCTTTCCCATGCAGGGCACTTACCCGTAATCCAAAGTAAAAGACGAAGAAAGCATTGAAGAATTTATCCACATAAATGACTCTGTCTGGAAAGGAGAAATGGAATTGCTCTGCTCTGAGGGGAAAGCCAATGTCACAGCCAGTGGAACGAAGGGTGAAAAGAGAAAACAGTGCATTGGGTATACAGCAACATTTGGTTTGAGCTCATATTTTGATTATGAAATAGTAAAGCAGAATTTCATCACGTTCACAATTTTGTGTAATCTAAATTCCCACTTCCTCGCTGGGTTATGGAATGGTAGGAGCGGGTTTTTTGTTAGCTTTAGTGAGCATGTTCAAACTACGTTATTTATCTACCATGCAAACTCATTGGAAAGTTTGGATTTCACATATTCATAAGAGTGTTTAAGCAAAAAAAACCTCCTGTTTTCCAGCAAAACCCTTTCACCTTTCTCACGTGGACTGCTTTACTCGTTTGTATTCCACTTAGTCAGCAAAACTTGGGAGCTCCTGCAGTGATTTCTCACCCAATCGCTGCTGAACACGGAGTTCTATCTGCCAAGGGAGCAGCTGAAGCAGCACCAAAGGGTTTCCAGCAAGTCTGTCAGGTTTGCTCATACTGCCCACTTAAATGTCTAGTCCAGCCCAATGACCTTGCACAGAAGAGGTTCATAGAGCATGTCGTTGGTGTAGGCTGACATCAGGAGCAAAAGCTGGCAGTGGAAAGCTGAGGGGATGAGCTTCTCCCACCAGCATCACCTGGTCCAGCAAGGGATATTGGGCTGAGTGCACACAGTGACACTGCCTGCCATAGGAAGGCAATCATACATGCATCCATCGAGCCCCTTTGAGACCCCTCTTCCTCCTCCATGCAGGGAAGATTTGAAAAGCAGAAACACAGTTAAGGAAATGAGTCCCATAGGTCAGCCCAGGTGAGCGCCTACTCTCACCTACAGGTGCAATGCTATTCGTGGAAAGAAATCCGTGTGAAAGGATTAACTGCCTGTTTATTCCTCAAAAAATAAACTGTTTCCCTTCTGAAGCCATTCCTAGCTGTTCGTCAGATTTATAATGCCTTGGGACTGAGCACAATATTGGATTGCTCTTGATGTATAATTCTGTTTCTCAGGTTTACCCCTGCTGATTGAATTCAGCTTCGAGTGCTCCACAGCTTTTATATTTTATTTATTTCATTTTATGATTCCATTTTATTTTCCCCATCCAAGCAAAGCACTGAGAACAATGCTCTGGCAAATTAAATCAATCAAAGGGTTTTACACATTAATATCTTTTCACCCCTAAGCACGTTCTATAAGATGTATGCATTTAGGTGAAGATTGGTAGAAGAAATGATGTGCTTCCTTAGACAAGTCTTGTTATTTTACTCCCATCAAATTGTTTACAGAAATCTAGACTTTAGGGAAGAGCTCCATTCCCATTTGGGTACCAAACATAGATGGCTGGATGTTCAAACGAGCTTTGGGTAGAGCGTGATGAGCTTTATTAAAAGCTTAGCATTCCCTAAATATTGCAATAGGAACAGCTGGGCTTTGAATATTTTGAAAATGTCTGTTTCAAAATGGGTTTGGGACCATTTTCAAAGCCTGTTTCCAGCTGTAGGACACAGTCTCACAGCTCTTCTGAAAATCCAGGCTTGAAGGCATAGACAAAGAACTACACATAGCAACACCTGAACAGCTGTGACAGAAAGATACATAACAGCACCCATGGGCTCCACCATCTAATACCTGTGGCCAAAAAACAGCTCTAAGAAAACACACCAGCTCGGGTTTTCTACTATTTGTTTAAATAAGCTTTTGGGATAAACATCAGTGATGTACTTACTCAGTAAGATCAATAAAATAAATGATGAGCGTGCCAATGTTCAGAAGAAACACCAGGATCATCTGAAAACACACGTATTAAAAAGGATGTTATGAGGCTTATTCTGGTAGTAATACAGATTCCATCTAAAACACCTCTTTTATTGCCTGTCTGTGACTTACAGAAAAGCAGAAGGAACACAATTCAATTACCTGCATTCTACAACAATTCCAAGAAGGGCATTTTAGTGAGGCCTGCTCACGACCAACCAAAATCTCAACCAACACAAACCCAGGTTATCACATTGATTTGCTACTGCTGAGGGCTGTGTGCAGCTGACCCAATGGTTCCCATGCAACTCCAGTGGCCTGGTTGTCCCTGTGAAATGCCATGGAATCCACACGTGTGACTCATTCACCAAATTGGGATATACATGGTCTCCTTAGAAGGACTTTCTGAGTCATCTTCCAGACCAAATACGGTTTGTAAGTGGAAGAAGTTGAACTAGGCCAAGTGAACTGCAAGTCCAGAAGGGCACACATCCATCAGTGCCTTGGAAGAGGAGCCCTGTGCTAATTGCTCTACTCACCAAAACACGTCCACTGTAGGTTTGGGCTGATAGCATCATCTGCATCCGTGTAGAGAAGATTCTTATGTAGTAGACTGATCTTTGTTTCCTTTTGTTTGACCACCAGACCTCTTTGCTCTAACAGAGGAACAAAGATTGTCATCCTTGGCCGTGCCAGACACAGTTTCCTAAGTCAGCTAAAGCAAACACAGCCAGCCACCAACAAATCTGAAGTGATTGAAGGAAAGAAACAAGAGGAGCACGTCTCCCTTCAGCTAAGCACACCAGAATGCCATCTCCTCCCATGACTTCAGAGGGCATTCTATGCAAGCATTCACTGCCATCTTCCCACCACTCTTGCACCATCATTTTATTAATTGCATCAGTGAACGTTGATTTTCATCAGCTTGAAGTGATTGCTTCACAACCCGAGCCTGAAAGGAAGAGGACAATAGTGCCTCTCCACTACTCTCCCCACCCCTTTCCCATCTTATGCCAGCAGTGAACCCATTTATGCAGTTTTGATTGCGTTTTTCTGGTATAGCTTCAACTAATTCTGATCAGCTTCTGCTCTGAGTACAACACTCACAGATACAGTTATTGATAACTGTAACAAATAACAAATAGATTATTCTATGACAGAAAACCTGTAAACATGTACCAGTAAAAACATTGCTCGTAATGGGAAACACTTCACTGGCCCTTCTTCTCAGTTTCCCAGGCAGCAGAGTCTGCAAAGAGCTGACACTTAAGTACTAAACCCCACCTCTGCTCCAGCAGCCAAGAGAACAACAGAGAGTCAGGTTAATTTAACTTTTTGGCACACAGAGCTGCTTTCTGCTTGCCAGCAGCACAGGTGTTCCCTTTATCTTCAGCCCATACAACCTGGGTGAGCTGATGAGAACATCGAGTCCTCCCTTGGAAGTGATGGAGAGAAATGGGCTGTGACAGTTGTTGGAGGCAGCTTGAAGTGCCACGCAAAGAAAAAAGCTCTTCATTCCTACAAATGGCACTGTAACTTGGTAAATAAGTGACCTGGATGTGTCATTTGAACATCCTGGTGTTAGCCTCCATTAATACCTTCTTAAAGCTTCATAGTGCACATAGGGACAAAAGATCAGGTGGTGGATTTTTTTTCAGCATGCTTAACCCCATTCTTGTCTACTTGGTGCAAAACATGTGAAAACACCTATCCCAATGTACTGAAAAACAGCTTCTTAGGGCAATTTTCCCAGTACTTCCAGTATGCAGAGTGGAAAAGCATAAACATATATTCCTCCTGTATATTTGCATACAATAAACTTGTGTGTTTGAGAAATGGAAGGAGCATGCAAGTGCAGGTAATTGTGATCATGATTAAAAAGCAAGCATTCTAGTGCTGTGTGCACCTGTGTTTATCTGTGCATTCAGGAGCTGAGCTTTCTCTGTGTGTGTTTGTGCAACTAGCAATAGCTACGTTGATAAAAACCATCTTGCCCCCTCCTCTTATAAGGAGAACAAGAGTAATACACAAAGGCACTAACCTGTTCAAGCAATCTTCTTGAAAATAAAAACAGTACAATTGGGTTCTCCCAAACCCAACTCAATTTGCCATGTCCAGTGCACTAAGACACGAGGTAAAGCTTTTCCAAGCCAGTACTCCTTCCATACCAAATGCAATTCTTCAATTCTCACATCAACACACAGCATATGAAATAAGCCAAGACAGCTTTACCTTCACTTTTTTTCTCCAGATTTGCTTAAGGATGAATCTATAAATGCATCGAATTGACCTGAAAGCCAGAATGGTAAACAGACCTCCGAGGAAAATAGAAAGAGATGGAAAAATAAAAGCCAACTGAAAATGCAGTGCACAGGTGAGGCCAGATTCTGCCATGTTATGTTCTGGTCCTGACCTTCTAGAACACACACTACTCTTGTGATGCTGCAGTAACCCTAGTGCTCAGGCTGAGGTCTGGGGATGGCCAAAGCCACATTGGGAGCTTCTGAATGGGGGTTCCCATTTAGAACTGTGTCTGTGCAGTGATATTACCAAGGTAATACTTTTTCTCTCTGGAATCTCTCAGTTTACAGAGCTGGCTCATGCACAGACTCTCTGTATAAACATAAGTTGCTTATCCAGACCTGTGAAGTCTCACACATGGCACTCAAGACTCATCCATTCAGACCCCACTTCACGCTTCCTTTCACGAGCTGCAACACAGACATACTGCAGCTCTCTCCTGGGAATTTCCATTCCACTTTTGGATAGAGTCCGGATGCCGCTCAAAAATAAATACAAGCAAGATGCCCTGGCATTGAAAGAGTAGATGTCATAATGAGAGCTTTGATAGAAACAGTGAATAAACACGAGATTGCCCACATAACTCAGACAAAGGATGCATTTAGCTTGCTGTCCTGCTGGTTACCCCCCAATTATTGGTGATGAAGGACAGTCTGATCCTTTCCCTACAGTCTTTAACTAGATGGCCCTCTTTCTTCCTTCTTCTGGTTTAATAAACTTATTAATCAGAACAATTTGAACAAGAAACATCGAAGTTTCCCAGACTGTGCATACAATCACCTTGGGATGGATGTGTGTGTCATACCCACAGGTGGCAGCATTCCCTTGGAGTCCAACCACCTTTGCAAGGCCATATGTAAAACCCATTTGCTTCCCAGCATCACTGCAACCTTGGACAAAGGAAAAGACAAAGGAGAGCAGCACAGCAAGCTGTGCACTGAAAGCATTCTGTAAAATCCAGAGCTCTCATCCTGCCCCACGAGGCCTTGATATCCCACCCCCAGTGCTGTGGTGTGAGCAGTTCGCTCAGTGCCTTCCCCACTTCTGTTGAAACAGAATGTCCTCAAAAGCTCTTTTGGTCTAGCCAAGAGCTTTAAAATCTTATGAGAAGTGCAGATGAATAAATGCAATCAGACTCTTCTTCGTGCAATCAGGACAGCTGAGTAGGGAAGTGGTGATTTTGCCTAAATTGGGGAAAAAAATGTGCCCAGAAAAAAATAATAATAATAATAATAATAAATTGCAAAAGAATGGTGAAATAACAGCCCAGCAAATAGCTGGCTGGGAGGCAAAGGATGTATTATTGTAGCCTTTAATAAATACAGTAATGCTGAACGTCTGCCTTCTTCTTTCCTTTCCTCCCATGCTGAGCATCAGAGGAGTCTATGAATGATTTTAGCCAGTGGGATGTTTTGAATGGAGAGGGTGGTCCTGGGGACAGTCTGACAGCTGACAGTCAGCATCCCTGTTTTCACAGAGCCCAACTCGACACAATTGCAACCAGTTCCTCATCTAAGGCTCCAGGATGCCTCAAGTCAAGGGGTAGGAAGGATTCCGCTTCTCTACCTTCCTTCCCCTGCTGCTGTAGGGCGGCTCTGACTGCAGATGGCAGCCTCTGCCCATTTTGTGGTGCTGCCCGCAACTCCCAGCTGATTTCTCAGTCCGACTGAGACACTGCCCTGTCTGCAGCGAGGTGCAGAAGCCAGGAAAGGGAGCTCACAACAGCGAGCAGACTTGTTTTCTTTAATCTGACTAAGCTGTTGTTCATCCTGCACTGATGCACACGTTTAGGGATAAATTATGGAAATTCATCAGGAGACATCACATGTTGTTCATTATTGGTGCCAAAATCACCTGGAATTCAGAGTGCTCTCTGAACACAAGCATTTCCAGCCCTGCCTCCCCAAGGGTTACACGCCAGTGCTGTCAATAACTGCAGGTAGGAAAACTGTGGGAGAAAAGGCCATTAAAGAATTAAGCTGGCTGGCAGGAACCTGATTTCAGGTTTTACAGACATAGAAGCCTGTGATTTAAGCCAGCTCCTTTCTGCAGCTCCATGAACACCACTGCAATGAGTCTGCACAGTGCTCAGCCACTCTCCAAAGGCAGCATTCACAGTGATGTATCACTTGGCTTCGTCTCTAATCGGTAGAATAAAAGTAGAATCAAGTAATGCTCTCCATCAGACTGCATTAGAGATCTCTTAAAAGAGAATAAATCCTTCCAAGGGTTAATTAACATTTTAAACTTACCCTGGAAATGTGTACCTTCCCTCCAGCTCTCATGCTGGCTCCAGTTTCCCAGCAAATTCTTCTCCTGATCTTCCAGCCAAATCCCTCTGCCTATTTATCTACTGCTAGAGGAGCCATCTGTTATCAGGAGTCACCTTCCTTGCATTTGTGTTTTCATTGTGATGGAGCCCCTCTTTATTTCCTCTTCTATAGCCTGCATGGATCAAGCTCCTAATATCTTTCAGGAGAAAGATGTTTCCTAGACTTTGAATCATTTATATGGCTCTTTTATGAATCCTTCCAATTTTTCAGCATCCTCTTTGATGTGCAGACACCAGAACCTGAATTGCTATCCCAGTGAAGATCTGGCTGACGGGGGTGGATGGGGGTGGTAAGCTTATTACATTAGATCCTGTGAAAGGAAGTTCTTGATCATAAAGTGCACCAGTTTGACTGAGAGGAAAGAAGGATAAGAGGCACCAAACTGGGGAGACGCAGCCTGAAAGGATTTAACTTCTGAGTAATGAGAACATCCACAGGCACATCAGACTGGATTAAAATAAAGATACATCCTGCTGCTTCAGAGCATAAACCAATAGCTGGCAGGGATTACAAATAAATGTCTCCTTTGGGTAGATACCTCTATAATTGTTCACTGTGGAGAGCTTACATCTCCACTGAAGCAGCTGGCTACCAGCAGACCCAGAACACTGGGATTAAGGAGACCAGAACAAGTTGCTCATCTGTCTGCTATGGAGAGACATACACACATGGAAGAAACAAAGAGCTTAAAGGTAAAATCCTTATGTTATCTCTTTCTCTCTCTGTTTCTGAGCCTGTCTAGGTAGGAAAGCTAAGAGATTAAATAAAGAAACACATCACAGCCAGCATTCTCCCAGCCTCCTTCCCATTGCAGTCCTCATCCCTGCTTGGCTCCCAGTTTCACTATTCTTTGAACCTTCCAGGTGCAAAATCAAACAGATTAGTCCAAAATTTGGAAGCAAGTGAGCCAGGCTGCTTGCTCTGGGCTTCCAATTTAATAAACACGTATCTATATCTAATGGACAGTCTGTCACTTCCCTTTAATGGAAATCACCTGCTCGTCTAATTATCATTAGACAAAT